CCAGGAATAACATGATACCATCTTACCTGTGTTCTTCGTACTTTCCTTTTTCTGCTGCCTTTCCCTCTCACCCACATTTCTGTTGCCTGATTTCTGAAAGACCTTGCAGATAGGTAACTGTGATAATTCTCCTCGGGGAGTTAAAGGTTTAATCAGGCCAGTGGCATGCTGGAGGCTGACTGTACCACTTTGTGAGAGATGGCTGCTAAATATTCAGAAATTTAGCAAGTAGACTGTTAACCTTCGGCAGCTTGAAATCTGCCATGGAGGGAGTATTTATACCATGGAAATTGGCAAACATTATAAACGGCCCCACCCTCCCTCCCCAAAGAGCTGGTCTATCAGCACGCCACGGGGTATTCCTCCCCTGCCATCTTGCATTTTCATTAGAAACCTTATTCAAATCTGAAAGTCTTATTCAAAATCTAGATTTAAAATGAATTTCTATGGCTGGGAATGTCTCTAACAGGAACAAACATGGGAAAATCATTAGAGGCATTGCTCAAATGTTACCGCATAGGCAAACGGCTAGACCACCTTGCTGAAAACCAGCTCTACTCACATACAGCTAGGAGATACGGTGGGAAATTATAAAAATTAAAAAAAAAAAGCATTAGCTTTTTGAGCCAAGGAAGATTTCCAAAGATATATGTACATATAATAATCCTATAAAATATGGACTGTTCTATAATAATTGAATTATTATATGAATTAGAATTATATTGAATTAGACTGTTAAGTATTTTCAGAATTACTGGCCAAAGCGAAGAATGAAGTACAAGAGTAAACTATGAACTATCCTTCTTAAAAAGGACAAAGAATTTCAAACCCCCTCAGAGCATGTGGAGAGTACAGTCTGCATACTGCAAAACTAAATGTACTATTAGAGGTCCAATGAAACGATCTAGTGGTTTCCAAAACCGGAAGCAGGACTTCCATCTTACTGAGATTTTAAAAAAACAAACAAACCTGTTGAGCTACTGGTTTAAGACCAGGATTACTTCCCAAAGTACAGCAATCCACCTTTACTCATATTCCTAGAATATCTTCTTTAAAAGTGGGAAAGGATTAATGGTGCTTAATATAAATTAGTTATCTTTTCTATGTATTTGTTTCATGCCTCTACTATGTATCTACTGTGTACCGGGCACTATCTTCACTGCAGAATGAGTAAGTTCCAGTCCCACAATGTGTTTCAAAGATTCTATCCATTTTTTAAAAGTATATTAGGTAAGGAAGTACTGTTCAAAGGCCTCAAAGAGATTCTACCAGTAATATATAGAGGATTTTCTTTCTAATTAGTTTACTGTAATTAGATAATAACATTTGACAGCTATAACCTTTTAGCTTTTGTGCTCCCACAAGAATAGTCACCAGGAGCTTTTTAGAGAAGATGATCTGGTTTCTGAAGAAAAATGGGGTGTAGCTTTGCCTTCTTGGGATGAATCCAAATGTAACTAAATAAAAATGTGAAAAATATACTTTATAGAGAACACTATGAAGCATGGTCAGAAAAATTTTGACTTATAATTAACACATGCTTCTGAAAATATGGAGTCTAAAAGTATAAATAGGAATTCTTTCTTTAAAAAACATTTATTTGTTTATTTGAGAGAGAGAGAGAGCATGAGTGGGAGGAGGGGCAGAGGGAGAGGGATAAGCAGACTCCCCACTGAGCAGGGAGCCCGACACAGGCTCGATTCCAGGACCCTGAGATCATGACCTGAGCCAAAGGCAGATGCTTAACCAACTGAGCCACCCAGGCACCCCATAAGTATGAATTCTTAATTATGGGCTTTTAGAACGATAGTTACGCTGACACTGAGTTTGTTGTTATAGTTGTTTGCTGTAAGAAAAACACATGTTCCTATCAAAGCATGTAAAATTAATGAACACATTTTCTATGCAGAGCTCAATACTCTTTTGTAAACTGTACTCATGAAAGAAAACTATCAATGAATTCATTAGGTAAAAATAAAAATTCAAAGAACAATGGCTACAGAACTAATAACTCTAGAAGGCTGAAATGTAGCAAGATATAAAGGACAGTGATAAAGCGTGTAACTGATGTTTATGTAAATATCAACAGTTCTTTTGTTACCATGCAGAAGAATCAGGGAAAAAAATGGGTAGGTAAGTGGGGCATGGCTTGGCAGGTTGTTTGCCTGCCTTCACTGCTGACCTGAAGGAGCATCTCGTGACCAACAGGAACCGCACAAGCCAGGCGTGTGTATACCTCCCATGCCAGCAGGCCTGGGCTGCCTTAAACGACTAAAGTGCAAAGCAGGCCTTTTAAATTTCCGTGATGTAAAGTAAGTCCATCTCGCCACTAGATGGAGATCAGGTTACTCTGCCAGGAGCAGGGAAAGCGGCTGGCATTTAGCCAGCGATAAGGATGGCACTGAGAACACACTCTCTTTTCTCAATATTTCTAAGAAAGGCATTTTTCAAGCTCCAAAACCAGGAGTAGACATCTGCTGAATAAAGGGCCCATAAATGAGGAACAGCTTGAGGGATCACACAGTACGGGAACTGCTTAAAAGACACATTTTTGCTTGTTATTACCATTGCTCCATAATGATTCCTATTTGGATTTTGTTGTGTAAACTACTCGTAAATAATAACATGAACTGGTCTAAATAAGAGCAATTAAATATACTGTCTTTTTTATTTTTTTCCAAGATTTTATTTATTTATTTGACAGAGAGAGACACAGCGAGAGAGGGAACACAAGCAGGGGGAGCGGGAGAGGGAGAAGCAGGCTTCCCGCTGAGCAGGGAGCCCGATGCGGGGCTCGAATCCCAGGACCCTGGGATCATGACCTGAAACCAAGGCAGACGCTTAACGACTGAGCCACCCAGGTGCCCCTATACTGTCTTATTATTTACCAAACAAGGAGGGGAGGAGAGATACGACCAAAAACTAAAATAATGGTAGACCATTTGGACAATTAATCCTGTCTGTTTACACATAAAGATGCATGCTCACAGTTTGTTTCTGGGTTTGAATATGTATATAAATATATATTTCAATATCAACCAAAATGGATCCAGGAACATCAGAAATGGAAGGAGAAGGTTGGATAACATCTAAGTTTCTAAATGAAACTAACATTCAATTCTCAAATGTGTAACTTTATTTCTGAGTAAGTTTTATTTCTGCTACAGCTGAACTTTGAACTGGAGACATAAAGTTATACATTTCCTGGAAAATGTTTGGTCTGGGAAGGATCAGATGTTGCCTTGCAAACAGTAGCCAAGTATTTTGATTATTTTGGGGATGTTAGAGAATATATTTCTGTTCATTTCTAACTTATTAACTATAAATACTCATTTAATAAATACTTATTCGGTTACATTAAAAACAAATGAATAATTCCTGACAGTTTAAAAGAACAATTCCATTTCTTATCAAATAGCTTCAATGGCCAGTGCAATTTAGTATATGTGAGTGTGAGCATATACAAACATATTAATTCCCTCTGTGTAACAGTCATTATGCTAGGAGCTGGGAATAGGAAGATGAACAACAGAGTTGGGGAAGTCATGGGGATGAAGAACATACGGCTAAAACACAAATAGGGGTTAACTTTTCTAGCCGTCAAGACCAGTTATGAAAATCATGAGTAAAATTCCTTTTTAAAGTTCTATTGTGGAAGAAACTTAATTTAGGCCACAGTCTTGACCATAGGAAACATATGACCTTTCATCTCTATGACATATGAGAAATTGAAATAAAATGCAAGAAATGCAAAAACAATAGTATTTACTCTTAGGCCTCAATCACCGTAATGAAAAGAGGAGCTTAATTCACAAGGAGACACTAATGCTTAGAATAATAAGAGAATCAGAACCACAGTTAATTAATTTTCCAATTATTGTTATGGGTAGTGACCAACAAGCAGTCTGTTGCTATAACAGATTCACTGCACTTAATGACATGTTTATTTTAGAGCAATACATTTGTTTTAGCTTAATTAAATTAATATATTCATACCCTTTCAAAAGAAGTTGAGGTTGTTTGCCTATGTTGGTTTGTGATCTTCACAATGTTCCTATAAACTTTTAAGAATCTAAGAGAAATATGTATTATTCATTTGCAAATCTAAATAGTTCTCCTTTAAGGGAAATCACAAAAATAACCACATAAAAGAGTAATTATTAATCAGGTATCAATGGGATAGTTTGTGGAAATTTTTTTATCTTGCTAATTGGCTCTTTACAGAACCACACAGCTGACAGGAACCTACTTTTCTTTCTTACCTTGCTGGATAAAAATGAAATGTAGACACTGAAGTTTTCTTCTGAAGATTAAAATATATCAATTACAAATAAATCCTTTGATGATATGCTTCAGTACTTAAGGGTACACAGCTTTCCTCATTGTTCACGGGAGTTCCAGACAGCAACCAGATTAGCTGGTGACTGAGTCATTTCTGGAGTTTCCTCTCACCTTGGTGCCCTATTTCCATGTTTCTTTCCAGTGCAGGGTTGGGTCTACTTCTCCCCACTGCTAAGTCTGCATGATTGGGACATAAGGAAGTTTGGAAAGATGCATCTCTACTGGATGCGTCATTTACTTATCTTCTCCAGGCTCTAGGCTTTGGCCCTAGGGTAATGGGCTGCATTTTATAGCAGTATCTCTGCTTCCTTGGTAGCATGTAGAGATGCTGAAAATGATGGCAGTGAAAGTCAGAACATGTGAAGGCAGTGCTGGAAACTGATTAATGCTGGAGGTTAGACAACAAATGTTGATTGTATTCTCATGTTGTGATGTGAGGGACCTGCATATTTAAGAACTGACCAAAAAATGGGCACATTTTAACTTTTTCACTCACTAGAGGGATAGATTTGTCTTTTTCTATTACGAGAAATTATTATAGCTATTTAAGCAATGATATTCAAGTTTGGGGGCCAAAAGTTTCCACAACTGTGGCAACTGGAACTAAATTATATACCTGAATATGCACCTTTAAGAGAGAAGGTCAATTCAAGTGGTACCTGCATATGTCGGTCACCTTCTTGTCCAATCATGTTTCTCCATTCCGTGAGTGATCGCTGCAGATGTTCAAGTCCAGTTTCCCAGAGTCTGATGCGACCTCCCATATCAACAGTAACAACACCACCTTTGCCCCACTCAGCTAGCAGAGCATCTGTGTCTGAAATAGTAGATAGCCATGTGGTATATGGCGAGAGAGATTCTGATCTGATAAGGAAATTATAGTAGTTAGTCAATTGGTAGTGATGAAGCTAGTTTACCTAATTTTGGTTCATTAAACTGGCTATAAAGAATTCTAGGGGCGCCTGGGTGGCTCAGTTGGTTAAGCGACTGCCTTCGGCTCAGGTCATGATCCTGGAGTCCCGGGATTGAGTCCCGCATCGGGCTCCCTGCTCTGCAGGGAGTCTGCTTCTCCCTCCGACCCTCCCCCCTCTCATGTGCTCTCTCTCATTCTCTCTCTCTCAAATAAATAAATAAAATTAAAAAAAAAATTAAAAAAAAAAGAATTCTAATAGTAAGCACATTAAAAGATACCAAGAGATTCATCTGTAAGAAAAAAAATAACACAGTTTTCTATTGGTTATTTACACTTTTCTGTATTTGTGGACTCCCGATGATACTAGCATTCACTGTCAGAAGGAAAAGAACTCTAAACCATCTCATATCTCATTCACCTGCAATGCTGGACTCACTATTTAGGGCTCTAAGTTTCAGTCTAAGTGCTGAAACTGATGTCTTGTTTATGGGCTTTAACTGCATTTGTATTTAATATTTTGCATTTTCTAACTTAGGAAGTTAAGGAATTTATAACAAGGAATTTATGTATTTCTCATATTACATATATCATACATATACATACTTCCTTTGTTATATATTCATTTCTAGGAATGCAGCTTTTGCCTATAAGTCAACTGCACACTTCCTTTTTCTGAATATAGCTCTCACTAAACAAAAGAAACAGATTAGAAATTCTAATTGATCTTTAAATACATCTGATACTTTCTATATGAAGTAAATGGTCTAAAGGGATAGTCTGATCAGATAATAAAAACACAATAAGCCATCAGTGTAGATCTGGGAAAAACCACAAAACCACTATATGTTGGGTAAAATCTTATAATATCCTAAAGAATAAACCAGGACTACTTTGACCTTTCTTTCCAGTCTGCCTTAGTAGATACTCAACACAGAGTGACAGAGCTAGCCTCTCTGGGACACAAAAGTTTTAGAAAATGTTAATATGAAGAAGATGATAACAGTAGGATGGGTCCCCAGGTTTCAGAACTACTTTACAGTTCTAGAAGGACTCACAGAAGGTAACATTTGATATAATACAGGGTTTATCTCATGGTGCCCTCCCAAAAACATGTGCCTTAGTAAAAAATTAATAGGTACAGATGGTGAAGTAAAGGGCTATTCCAGAACAATGAAATTTATCTATGTGAAACAATAATGTCTGAGATTCTTCCAAGAGCACTCAAGATGTAAGACTGTGGAATACTCTATTTACTGGCTAAATGTTTAACTCTTCATACCATGAAACTTGAAATTTCTACGGGCAATTTCTTCAATATGTCAAAAAAAAGTGCTGAAAAAAATCACATATTTACTACAATTTGCTCCCCAGCTCTAGAATCTCTTCTTCACCTTGTTTTAAATGCATCTTCCCCTTACTACATAATAGCAACGTCATTAAAGAATACACAGAGTTACAGTAGAGTGAGGCCCAGATTTCCATACACCCACAGATGAGAGCTAGGCAGTATCATTTCACAGATGTAAATAATACAAAAATTTGAGGAAAAATACTCAAGTTTTACTGGGGGCAAAAGTGATGTATTCATTTTGGCCCTGTAGTTATATACAGTGTTACTGTATTTTCTGTTATTTGAAGTTAGCCATCAGATGGAAAATTCCAGCTATCTAGCAGAATGCTAAATTTAAGCAACTAGCAGGAAAACTGAAATCCAGATGGGTTGTTCTCTTGGATTGCATATATGCCAAAAATGGCAATAGCTAATCTCAAGAGAAATTCAGGATATACTGATAATGAACAGACTCCAAATCACATGGCACTTGAAATATGGCAAGTCCAAACTGAGATGTTCCAAAAGTGTAAAATACATACTGATTTCAAAGACTTAGAAGAAAAAAGGAATATAAAATATCTCATTAAAATTTTTATATTGAATATGTGTCAAAATGGTAACATTTTATGCTTTTAAAATTTATTAAAAATATTTTACTTATTTATTTTAAGGAGAGAGTGTGCATGAGAAGATAATAGTGTTTTAAATACATCGGGTCAATAAAATGTGATTAAAGTTAATTTCACCTATTTATTTTTCCTTTTTAAAAATATAGCTAATAAGGACTAGACAATGAGTGACATTATCTGGCTTGCATTCTATCTCCGGCGGGCGGTGTGGCTCTGAAGGAGCAGCCGCTCTGCCAGGTGTTCCTCCCTGGCAGGCATCACACACGGTTCACACAGAAGGTTAAAAGAGAAGAACAATGAAATAATTTCTAAGAGAAATACTGGAAAAAAGTTATTAATCCTTTTGGAAATGTAAAAAAACCAGAAGTTGTTCTTTGCTTTTGTTGCCTGAACTAATAGTATATTTTAATAAGCATATACTTCATATGGAATAAGGAATTTCCCCAAATGACTAAAAGCCATTTTCCATTAAACTGACACATAAAGATGCTCTAAGAAGGCATACTTATATATGTTGGAACAAGTAAATCTATTTTTTTTTTTTAAAGATTTTATTTATTTATTTATTTATTTATTTGAGAGAAAGAAAGGAGACAGAGAAACAGCACGAGAGGGGAGAGGGTCAAAGGGAGAAGCAGACCCCCTGCTGAGCAGGGAGCCCGATGCGGGACTCGATCCCAGGACTCCGGGATCATGACCTGAGCCGAAGGCAGTTGCTTAACCAACTGAGCCACCCAGGTGCCCTCTATTTTTTTTTTTTTTTTTTAGTAATGCTTTGATTATTCGTATTTATTGAACCTGATTAAGGGTCCTAAGAAATGAAACTGTGTTTCTCAGTTACTGTGACCTGTCAGGCTGGGCTAGTCTCTTCTAGGGGTTGGAGGAGCGGCTAGAAAGCAGCCTGGTGATGCTGGGGGTGAGTGACAGGTCTCCGAGTAGCCGGCCTTTCTCTCATGCTGGAAGGCTCTGCAGGCTTCTCTGTTAGAGAGTTCCGGTGAGGTTTTCATCCCTGTGTTGTGAGGACTTAGTCGCCCGTCAGGGAGTGTATGTTATGAGGGGATGTAGTGTCAAACTGGGCCAAAGCAGAGGAAAAGATTGGAAGAAGGAGGTGCTGGCTGGGGGTGGGGGTGGGTTGGGTGGGGGAGGGGAGCAAAGTAAGGAAGAATGAGGAAGTCCCAGAGCAGTTCTGCTGAGAGAGGGAGATCAGGCATGGATGCATCCAGAAAGGGACAGGCTACTGGTGAGGATACTGTGGTTCTCAAGGGTAGAAACCAAGCACGTAGTTTTCCTTCTGTAGCCTCGGTCTAGTTGGTTTAGATACTTTGCTTCCATCACTGGACAATAACAGAAGCAGTGAATGGTCATGAGTTCCATTCAAAATCTCTGGAAGCCTTTAGCCACTGTATAGCCTTCACAACATTTTTTAAAAAATCATTTTTAAAAATGCTATTTAAATTCCTTTGACATTTTTTAACACATTTACCTCTGAAAACTACTATATAAAGTTAATAAATAAGATGGATGGAGTTCGAGAGTTATTATGCTAAGCAAAATAAGTCAGTCAGAGAAGACAAATACCGTATGATTTCACTCACATGTGGAGTTTAAGAAACAAAACAAACAAGCAAAGGGAAAAAAAAGAGAGAGAGAGAGAGAGAAACCAAGAAAGAGACTCTTAACTGTAGAGAACAAACTGATGGTTACCAGAGGGAGGTGGGCAGGGGGATGGGCGACATAGGTGATGGGGATTAAGGAGTGCACTTGTCGTGATGAGCACTGAGCAATGTATGGAAGTGTTGAATCACTATATTGTGTACCTGAAACTAATATTACACTGTGTGTTAACTAATGGAAATTCAAATAAAAACTTAGAAAAAAAGAAAAATAAAGATGAAAATTTTTTGCAATACTGAAAACGCTGTTTTAGATAAATTAAATTAATCACTGGGATAAATCAATGAACAGATCAATGACAGAGAAATGAAGCCTTGAAGGTTGTTAGACTTATACCTATATAACGTTTGAACATTTGTCCCAAATGAAAATAAAAATAGCAGTAAAGCACGCAGAACAGTAGCAAGATACAAGCCAACTGCAACTGGGGTGGGGCGGGGGGAGAAGAGCCTGCTATTTCAGGAGGCAAAAGCACACATTTATTCGGAGTGCTCGGTAAGACTTGACTTGCTTTGATCTGACATATGAACTGGGAACAAAGGTGAACGTGCATTACCTGGGAATAGGGATATATCGGAGTTTCTTGGATTGAAGATCAGTGATTTCTATATAACCAGCTGTTTGCGGAGGGGTCACATCTGCAGACAAGTCATGACATGAGCTGAGTATTAAATTACTGCATGATACCAAAATAAGACCAGAAGAAAGCATGAATGTTGCTAAAAGTGCAATGAAGTTACCAGTAGCCTAGGGCAGAGCTCTGAGACCCACCTGACAAGGTCCTGGGTCAAGTCTAGTCTCTCGGGTTATGTTTTTGTCAACAAAACACAAAGATTGTCAAATACATACATATTAGGCCATGATTCTTCACTGTCAGAAACTGACCTAAGTCCTTTTCATTGTCTTTGCTAGCTCTCCAAGACGAGACGTTATAGCACTTAGAGTTTATTTGAAAAGATTTCATCACATGAATTCTGTTTTTCCTTCCTAGGAAGTCACAATGACAGTACAAAGTAGGGGATGCAGCACCCACTTTGTAATCGGACTGGCCACTGGCTCTGACATTTCTGAACTGTGTTTTATGCTGGTCAAGTTATCTTGCTTCTTTTGTCATTTGTAAAATGGGGATAACAACAGCATCTGAGCATCATAGACATTATTTTGAGGATTAGATGCATTTAATGACTGGAAAGCATTTAATTAGTAGCTGCTCAGCACATGGTACCTGTAATTATTAGGGCCCCCCAAGACAGGAGAGGGTGTGGTGAGGATGGGCCCGTGGGATGAGGACTCTGGATCATGGATGAAAGGGTGGGGGAAGGAGAGGGTATGACATATAGGGGCCAGAGCCCCCACCTCTAATTCTGGAGTTGTTTCCCAGCCAATTCCAGGGGTCTGCTGACTTCTCTTCCAAAACCCTGAATACCACTACTCATCATCACTAGCTGCCACTACTGTGTGCCAGAAACTCTGCTTAGTCTTTATAGGCAGGGTGTTTAATCCTGACCACAAAGACTCATGATTCCTGCTGGAATGAGGAGGAAGCTGAAGCTAATAGAGGTGCGATGATAATGTGACCTGCTTGAGGCGACACAGCTAGAGAGTGATGGAGATGGCTTTCAAACCCAGGACTTCCTGGCTTTGAAATCTCTGCTCTGTCCACTACTCCACACAGCTCCCCCTAAGCTGACCCTAGGGCAACAATTTTTAAAATGGCCTCATTTTAGAAGATATTGGCCATTAATGTCTCTTAAAAAAAAATCTCCCCTACACAGAACCCATACTTTTTTTTTTTTTTTTTAAGATTTTATTTATTTTTTGACACAGAGAGAGACAGCGAGAGAGGGAACACAAGCAGGGGGAATGGGAGAGGGAGAAGCAGGCTCCCTGCGGAGCAGGGAGCCTGATGTGGGGCTCAATTCCAGGACCCTGAGATCGTGACCTGAGCCGAAGGCAGACACTTAATGACTGAGCCACCCAGGCGCCCCCAGAATCCATACTTTAAATTTAAAGATTTTTGTCTGTTGTCTGTCCTTATTACAACTTCATGTTAGAATGAGATATTCAGGATGTTCACACTGAATTTATCCAATGTAGTTTACAAAAAAATAAGAAACTTGGCATTTTTATTTCATGTTTGCAGCCGGAAGTTTTTGAGTAGACCCTCCAAAAAATTCAAAACTCAAAATATGTCTTATTTATTCAACAAACAGGGTTAGGTTTACTTTGCACCAGACACTATACAAAGCACTGAGGAGAGAGAAGGAGATGTGATTCCTGTTTCATCTGAGGAGTCCACAGCAGAAAGAGGAAAGTTCCTTAAAAAAAACAAAAACAAAAAAACATAAAAAACCCCCACACAACAAAACAAAACCCATCGTGGGCCTTTGGGGACCCACAGGCCTGGGGGCTAGGTATGAGCCGCAGAGCAAGGCAAGGAGGAGTGCCAGAGGTCAGAGGGTTAGGAGGAAAGGAAGGTAATGTCCAGGGATAGCAGAGGGTAAGAAAAGAGAGTTACTATGGTAACCTGACCACCAGCTGAATTGGCTGTCCCTAGATGGCCATTTATATAAAACAAGCATGCTTATCATCAGTCACACACAGCCTGCACTGCAAATGCTGCCTGGGATAGAAGGTCAGCCTTGGATAAAGTTTTGCACCATATATCACTTTTGACAGTTCCTGCTGCTAAGACCTATCCGAAGTAGGTTGAATTATTTATAGACCCAGGTTCTTTGCCAAAAATGACCAGTTACTGAAGCAGTTGGGATGACTAGAGCTGTCTCGTTAACCGACTTACATTTTGGCTTGTCACTCATGGGCACTTTTTTTTTTTTCATAAGTAGTAGTATTAAGCTGAGCTATGGCCACCAGTACTTTCAGACGGCCCATGAAAGCAAAGCACAGTAAGCCAACTTATTTTAAAATATCTTTTCTTTCACTGTGCAAATTAATTCCGTGGCATAAAGAGGGTGAGAAAATGCAGTAATGGCTGTGTCTATTTCAAGAAGAGGAAAGCAAGAATTTTACTCCTGGTGCTAAAAAATATTTTCACATATCAGAAAAGGCACTTTGTGGCTATAAAGCACTTTTCAAAGCAGTATTAAGGGAGTGGTGGTGGTGGTGGTGATGGTGAGCACTTGAAAAATAATCAGCATTGACGTTTACTGATTTGAAAACGAATCAGCTCGGAATACATGACTGAATTAAGGAAGTGAACACCGCAGCCAGATTTCCCTCCAAACTTGGCCAAATCCTTGTCTATCCATTTTAAACGTTTCAATGCTGTAGAGAGGACAGAGGCTCAGTAAATTTCCATTACATTTATAATCAGGTGGATTTCAAGGATAGGTGTAAGCTAAGCGTGAAGATGAGTTCACTAATGATGAAAGGGAAGTCAACGGCTGTGTGTTTACTGCATAGTTCCCGGGAACAGTGGGGACAGCTTCTGTGCACAGCACCAAGGTTAGGAGGAGGTATAAGAGTTGTCAGACAAAACAACTGAGAACACATTTGGAGGGAAGATGAAATTATATTAAAAAATTCACTCCTTTTAGCAATGTAATTTGATGTACATCTGTTAACTACCAAGTTTAATGCACTTCTGCGCTCACAGATTAAGAGTGATGAGCGTCCTGCAATAGCGCCAATGCCAAATCTTTTAAAACACAGAGTATCACTTTTAATCCAGAGTTGTTACTTTGTGTTTGAAGAGCTGAGGTCTGTGATTAAAGAAAAAAAGAAAAGAAAAGAAAAAGCAACTAACAACTAGGGGAAAAAAAAAAAAAGACTGGAAGAAAGCAGTAAATCTCTCCCTGGCTGCATTAAACAAAAGTTATGCCATCTTTATGAAAGCCAGCAGAATAGCCTTTATAGTTTCTATTGATTTCTTTAATAAAAGGCTGATATGCATTAGTTCCAGACTAATCAGATGGTTGGATTCTATTTACTTAAAAAAAAAGCCAAACTATTTTTTATACCAGTGTCAGCTCAAAGATTGCTTCTTAACCAGAGCAAAGAGTTCTTAAGCCATAATCTTTCCTCTACTACTTTGGAAGTTATATACTCTATTCCTAACTTACTGACATACAAACTTAATCAATATCGCATCCTTCCTCCTGAACAATGTAAGGCACTTAGAAAACTTTAACATTAGTCATTCCTCTCCTAACTTGTAGATTCTAATTGTCTCATAGTTTCGATATATGCTTCTTAAAATTTCACAAACTTTTATTATTTTTGTTCCTTATAATTAATGCTTGTTAGCCATATATTTACTACTTTCTCGTGTATTCTCATCTGAACTGGTTGATCCCTAGGCCTGTGCACAGCTATCCTCCTGGGATCTCCCTTCGTCATTCTCCTAGGAATTTTTTTTTTTTAATAGCCCACATTTATAAAATTCTTCCTATGTGCCAGACACCATCCTAAGCACTTTATGTATATTTGAAATATTTAAGGAATACTACTTAAACAAATGAGGGGAAATAAAACTCCTAGCAACAAAGAGAAAAATGGTCAAAGATATAAACAGGCAATTCTCAGAAGAGTAAATCACAGCATATGAAAAGATTCTCAAAGTTCTTAAAAATTAGGGAAAGATAAACCGAAACCACAATAGAAGGTCTGATCCCTACAAGAGTAGATAAGGATGGGGAGTGTCAGGACCTCTTTTATGAGGCTGAAACAACATTGAGAAACAATTTGGTAATTCTACTCTTAGATATATCCCCTATGATTTCTTAGCATGTACACAAGGAGAGGGGTACAAGGATATTCATTGCCCATTATCTGTAATAGCAAAAATTGGAAAGAACCTAAGTGTACATCAACAGAGACCCGATGAATAAACTACAGTGTTCAGCAGTGAAAGTAAATGAAGGAGCTATCAATGTGGATGATGACAAAAGATCATCTCCTTTGACCAAACTCTAGTCAGGCTCTTCTGGATCCTCTTCCCAAACAGGCCCCAACTTTTAGGCTTCTGTATTCATCTCTGTACTGTTCACTTTTATCAAGAGTCCTGCTAAGTCAGTTTAACTAGAATCCCCCACCCTCCACATGTGATCAGGTTCCTCATCCTCCACCATCCCCGAGGTAAGGTCTAATCACCCTGGCCTGCCTTCAGCAAGAATCCTCCAGGGTCAATTTAGCTAGAAGTGTTCCTTTTCCTTGATTTCCTTTTAGTAGTTTTCTATCCACTGATCCCTACCAAAAGTTAGAAGATCTATACTACCTGATTTTGACACTCACTATAAAGCAGTGTCAAAGCTAGAAAGTAATCGAGTGTGCTATTAGTGAAGCGATAGACACAGAGATCAATGGAACACAAAAGAAAATACAAAAATAGACCCCAACATGTGTGGTCAGTTGATTTTGAGCAGAAGTCCAACTGCTGAAATTCAATGGAGAAAGGACAGATCTTCCAGCAAATGGTGCTGGAACAAGTGAATATCCGCATACAAAACAATGAGTCTCAGTCCACACCTTGCACCATATAAAAACAATTATCTCAAAATGGAACCTTAAATGTAAAATCTAAAACTACAAAATTTCTAGAAGGGAAAATTTCCCTTCATCAAAATGGGAGAAAACATTTGAAAAGAATATTTGATAGTGGACTTGTACCCAGAATATATAAGGAACACACAAAACTCTTTAAAAAAGTCACCCAAATGGGGTGCCTGGGTGGCTCAGTTGGTTAAGCCACTGCCTTCGGCTCAGGTCATGATCCTGGAGTCCCTGGATCGAGTCCCGCATCGGGCTCCCTGCTCGGCGGGGAGTCTGCTTCTCCCTCTGACCCTCCTCCCTCTCATGCTCTCTGACTTTCATTCTCTCTCTCTCAAATAAATAAAATCTAAAAAAAAAAAAAAAAAAAAAAAAAGTCACCCAAATAACCCAAGGGCAAAAAATCTGAGACATTTCACTAAGGAAGGTACACATGACAAGATGCTCAACATCATTAGGCACTGGGAAAATGCAAATTAAAATCATAATGAGATACTGCTGCACAACTACTAGAATGGTGAAAGACTGGTTATACCAAGTACTGGCAAGGAGGCAGCAGAACTAGAACTTTCCTTCATTGCTAATAGGAAGGCAAAAGGTATTGTCACTTTGTAAAACAGTTTGGCAGTTCTATCATATAACGTAAAAATGCCATTCCAATGTATTTACCCCAGTGAAGCAGAGACTTATGTTCACTTAAAGATTTGTGCACAAGAGTTCACAATAGCCTTATTCATTATTGTCAAAAAGTGGAAATGATTCAACTGTCCATCAACTTGTGAATGAACAGACGAAGTGTGCACAATCACACAAGAGACGACTACTTGGCAATAAAATGAACTACTGGCACAGACAACAATATTAATGATTCTCAAAGACACGATATTAGGTGAAAGAAACCACTTGGAAGAACATATACTGTATGATGCCATTTATATGAACATTCTGGAAAAGGCAGATCCGTAAGGCCAGAAATCAGTTCGGTCAGGGGACAGGGAGTAGGTGGAAAGGCTGACCACAAAGTAGCATGGGGAGATGGAACTGTTCTCTGTCAGTTATGGTGATGGTTACACAACTGTATGTGTTTGTCAAACTCACTGAACTATATACAAACTGAACTATATATAAACTGAACCTTAATAAGAACAAAGGCATACTTTAAAAATATCACTCTGTCTGATGCATGGAGAATGGGTAGGATGGGGAAAGAGTGGAAGAGGAAACGTCAGGAGGCTGTTGCAATATTCTAGTGCAATATGGCGGTGATTTGGATGTTGGTAATAGAACTCTAGTCAAGTGGGTAGAATCAAAATATATTGGTGAGGTTGTATCAAAAGGACACGGTAATTTATGATGGGATTAGATAGAGAGGATGAGGGAGAAGAAGTATCAAGGTAGACTCCTGGGTGCACTGAATTCTAGTACAGAATTTCTTGTATTTCCTGGGATGGTGTCATGCCCCTGTACCTTTCACACAGGGTTCCCCCTTCCTGAAACAATTCCTTCATTTGATTCACTCCCATTCATCTTTTCAAGGGTCAGCTCATAATCACCAGTCTGGACTGTAAGCTTCTCCTTTTGTAGACACCGTGTGAATATTCCTGTCATAGCACTGTACTGAGACTGTCACTTTATTCACCTGCTTCTTCTACCTTAAGAAACATTTTGAGGAAATGGTGATTTCTTTGGAAGGAACTAATTCTAAATATCATCATATAACCAGGACTTGTCAACCCAGTAATAGAGTATAATACATTTAGCATTATATTTATTAAGTCCACAGTGATAATGACGAATGTAAACACAAGACAACATTTACTACCACTATGATGCAAATAACAAACAGTGGCTCAACGAGCAAACATTTTCATAATTATCCATTATGGTGAAAGCCCATGTGGTTCAGCAAGAATAGCCCTAGGCTTGGGATTGGAAGACCTGGTGCACATCTGGGCTCTGCTGGCCACTGGTGGGGTGGCCCTTGGCATGCCATCTTACCTCCCTTTGTCAGCCTCCCTGCATACAAGTTCAAGAGTACACTGATGACAGAATGGGGATTTGAATATTAAATAAAGGTATACAAGGAAAAGTGATCGGCACAGGCCCTGGCCTATGTTTTGCAGTAATAAATATAAGATGACCCTGAGAGCACTGCTGAGGGGATCAGTCTGCATGAGTCTCTGGCCTTTCATCATAGCTGGCCCCATTTTCTGTGCCTGATGGTCTAATAATTTTTAAAAGTCTATTTGAAAACATCTTCTAAGTAAAGTTACTGTGTAGATTGTAAGGCAAAGGAAGAAGAGTTTTAACAGCAGTGCCTTCCACCACACACTGCGAGAAACTGAGTGAAAACTTTCTGAGCACACACAGAGGTCTTTTTAGCTACTAGACCCTGGTAGAATTATTCACATTTATACATATGGAATGATAACGATAAATTAAATATCCTTACCCAAAGCAAACTACTTTTACTACCTCAGCAAATTAGGAATTGGTAAATTTCTTACCTTTTGGGTAGACATCTTTTAGAGGGACTTCTCCCGGGGGCAGAATCCTGACTATCTGATTAGTATCTAAAAGAGTCACACAATTGCTCTGTTTTGGAGTTTCACTTTTCTTCTTTCCTCCATAGAATGTTCTGTCAGTGACACTTGGTTTATGCAAGGATGATGGCCTTCTCCAAGAATAGACTTCACTGGGTGACTGAAAGAAAGAAAAGATTAAAGTACTGAATATAGGGGTGCCTGGCTCAGTCAGTAAAGCATCTGACACTTGATCTCAGCTCAGGTCTTGATCTCAGGGTTGTGAGATCAAGCCCCATGCTGGGCTCCATGCTTGGCATGGAGCCTACTTAAAAAAAAAAAAAAAAGTACTGAAATATAGTTGACCCTTGAACAACATGGGTTTGAACCGTGCAGGTCCACTTATATGCGGATTTTTTACAGTTCAGTAAGTGTGTTTTCTCTTCCTTATGATTTTAATGACATTTTCTTTTCTCCAGCTTACTTTATTGTACATATATAATGTTTATAACATGCAAAATGTGTGGTAATAGACTGTTTATGTTACCAGTAAGGCTGCCAGTCAACTGTAGGCTATTAGTAGTTAAGTTTTGGGGAGTCAAAAGTTATTCATGGAGTTTTGACTGTGTGAAGGGGGTCAGTGTCCCTAACCCCCATGTTGTTCAAGAGCCAACTGTACTATAAACTACATTCACCACACCCGGTACAATGCAGCCCTTTAAGCGGATACCAGTGGTAAACTTGTATTTCCAAGTATAAGAAAATCAAATTACTTCTTAACCTTTTTGAATTTGGTATAGGAAATAGCTGCTTCACCAACAATCATATTTTTCAGGCAAATGTGAAATATACAACATATTTTTTACGTTGAAATGAATTGTAACTAAAGAGAGGGAATATAACAATATAGTCAGTTTAAAAATAAAATAAATCTCTACTACATCTACTCTGTGGCATTACCAGCATTCTGAAGTACCTGAGTGTGCCTTTCCATTCATATTTCCTTCTGTCTGCCCTAGATGTTTAGAACTCTTCTGGAATTTTGTATATTTTTTCCCTCTTGCTTTACTTAAAATTTTTATCATATATGCATTTATCCTTCCCTACCCCAAGATCATAAATATTCTCCTATATATTCTCTAAACGTTTTAAAGTTTTGTCTTTCACATTTAAGTCCTTAACCCATTTGGGATTTATTTTTGTGAATGGCATGAGGCAGAGATTCATATTCATCCTTTTTCACATGGATAGCTAATTGTCCAAATACCGTCAAATACCAAACAGCACTATCAACATTGCTATTATAAAATACAGTTCTGAATATGCATGCATCTGTTGCTGGGCACTTCATTCCACTCTCTTATTTATTTTTCTACTCCTACGTGCATACCATTGTCTTAGTTACTGAAGCTTTATAATAAGCCTTGAAATTTAGTAGGGCAAGTTATCTCTGCCTCTATTTGGTTCTTCTTCAGGAACATCTTGATTATTGTTTGTCTTTGCTCTTTCATAAAATTGTATGAGAGTTGGATTTGCTCTGCACCCTTGTCAGTATTTGATATTGTCAGTATTTTTTAATGTTAGCCATGTAGTAGTGTCTTATCGTGATTTTAATTTGCATTTCCCAAATGACTAATGATGTTGAACATCTTTTCATGTACTTAATCTCTGTATCCTCTTAAATCATCTGTTCAAGTCTTTTGCCTTTTTTTTCACATTTACCTCATTATTTCTGTATCTATCTAAATATATTGAAAACTGTGAGTTCACACAAATAGATTCAATTCCAATGCAATGACTATAGGATTCATTCTAGTGTTCCTTTCTCTATCTGTAACTCCCTTCTCCAACAGTGAGAAACTAGACTTCATTATCTTTAATATATTTACTTTCTTGCTCAGTTCCACTGAATGTGATTCATATCCCATCCCACTACTAACTTTCCCTCGCAAGCAAATGCCTTCCTTACTCTGCTTGGTCCTAATAGTCCACGCTGGGCTACGCTCATGAATGGACGCCCTCCTCACCTTACTTGGGCTCCTAAATCCTACACCAGGCTACCTCTACCTCCTCAGGGGCACCTCCAGGCATTGTGCCTGGAGTTCGTTACTATCACTGGTGATTACACCCTTCCCCATCTGGGATGTCCTCACCTGCTCAGCCTCTGACCTCTGACACCTCACACTGAGCCACTGTTTGCCCATTTTCTATATTGGATGATTTGTTTTCTTGCTCTTGAGTTTTAAGAAATCTTTGTATGTTCTAGATACAAGTCCTTTGTTGGAAATATGATTTGCCAATATTTTTTCCCAGCCATATCTTTTCATTCTCTTAACAGTGTCTTTTATAGAGCTGAAGTTTTAAATTTTGATGAAATTCAATTTATCAAAAATTTTGTTATGGATCATATCTGAGATGCTCAGTAGAGTGTTTAATAGAAGTGATGATGGTGAGTATCTTGTCTTATTCTTGATATTAAAAGGAATGCTTTTAATGTTTCACTACTGAGGATGATATTTGCTCTAGGTTTTTATGGCTATTTGGCATTAGGTTAAGGAAGTGATAATAAGTTAATAATAATTTAGGTGCCTCGGATAATGCTATAAAAAGTTGATAGGTGACATATCCCTTTATTGATAGCTTTATGAAGAGTCAAAAGAAATTCACACAAAAGCAGAAAGGCACTGTGGTACACGGGAAAGGATACAGGTTTGAGGGTAAGTCATCCTTGACCTCAAATCCCAGCTCCTTTACTCATAATTTTTGTGGCCTAGGGGATACATCTTTCTCCGTTTCTGTTTCTTCATCTATAAAACCTTATAAAATTGTTTTAAAAATTGTCATGTATGAAAGGGTTTAGAATAGTGCAATGCCTGATTTTTGTATTAGGGTCTAAAAAATACAATTTTATCATAGAATGTTGAAAGGCTGCCTAACTGACCCTAGTCTTTCATTTAACAAATATTCACTAACACCTCCTATGTGTTGGTTACCATACTAAGTAGGGGGATAGAACTTTTTTTTTTTTAAGATTTTATTTATTTATTTGACAGAGAGAGAGACAGCGAGAGAGGGAACACAAGCAGGGGGAGTGGGAGAGGGAGAAGCAGGCTCCCCACCGAGCAGGGAGCCCAATGTGGGGCTTGATTTTAGGACCCTGGGATCATGACCTGAGCCGAAGGCAGACGCTTAATGACTGAGCCACCCAGGCGCCCCAGGGGGATAGAACTTTTAATTTAACAAGGTCACTAGTCCTACCAGCTATGAAGGATTTCTATAGGGTTAATACAAAGTGTCTTATACTCAGTGCCAAATACTTTTACTTTCTAACCCTTTTTTACAGTAACATTATATTTCTATACTAATTTCTTCAATCAGAAGATCAGTATTTTAAATGATTCCACCTTCAGAAATATAGCTCTAGTATTTTCCCTACTGATGGCAGCAATTATTGAGAAAGCATATTAAACACAACTCTCATTTAGTCAAGGCTGCTGTAGATACTGTATTCCAACAACATGTTTCATTTTCAGTTATATAATACCATAGCAAATGCTTTTTACTTGATAATTAGGAAGACATATGGCAAAATCCTAAGCCACATATTATACACTGGGTTTTGGATTTCAGATGTCTTATACCCTGAAATAGTCACCATTCATTAATTACATTAAAAATCTGAGATTATGTGAGATTGGCATACCATCAAGCAGAGCCCATATTTTTATCTTTAAATGATTCTATTAAAAAATAAAAGCTACAAAGGAAATTATGAAAATTAAATGTTAAATCAAAACACATGGAGCTACATCTAAGGTTATTAGATGGCATCTTAGACTTAAATAACCTTTATATTTAATTTTCCCCCCTTTCCATTAGGAGAAGATGGTGCCTCATTTCACCCGAATTCAATTACAAATAGCCTCCTCTTTACAGATAACAGTACACAACAGCAGAAGGGATCACTTAAGAGCAAATTAAGTTGAAACTATCACCATAATCTGGATGCTGCAAAGATATGATAAATCAGAGCAAAACTCAATGGAAAGTGAATTGATGTTCATGAGTGTTGAAAACATTTAATCTACAGGAATGAGACCCCCCCTTCTAGAACTTTAAAAAATTCTAGAAGACGTGTTATTTTGTTAGTCTCAAACGTTTCTCTTGACAGATTACATAAGCACACATTAAGACATGATGTAAAATTACAGTCAGTAGGTTAAACATTTCACTGTGTCACAGGGACTCATACGGGAAAATACTGGTTTCCCCTTATTAAATTACATAATTACATTACCCTTTATTTTATTTTTTATTTTTATTTTTTTTCATTACCCTTTAAATGTTAGTTTTAAAAAAGCAATGAAACTCTATAGGTAGAATGCATTTTCTTTTTTTAAAAAATATTTTATTTATTTATTTGACAGAGAGAGACACAGTGAGAGAGGGAAAACAAGCAGGGGGAGTGGGAGAGGGAGAAGCAGGCTTCCTGCGGAGCAGGGAGCCTGATGCGAGGCTCTATCCCAGGGCCCCGGGCTCATGACCTGAGCCGAAGGCAGACGCTTCACGACTGAGCCACCCAGGCGCCCCTAGAATGCATTTTCTAATGACTGATTTGGAATATAGACTTGATCTGAAATGTTTACCAGAATATCATTACATTTTTAACTAACCCTCAAATAGCCTTACAGATTATAGGCTAAACTGGAAGAAGAAATATTTATTCAATAATTGAGAAAAACTGGTGCTTACCACGAGATCTGGGAAGCCAATAACAACTGTAGCATAACTATTCTCATCTGAGAGAATTCGGTTAGGAGAGGCAATCTTTTGTCCGACAGCTGAACTTAGATTTTCAGATGATAGTTGATCACTTGAAATTGTATGAGGTATGCTGAGATCTGCTTCTGAGGTGTCAGAGAAACATTAGATACCATATGCCCCTAAAATGCTCCAGGAATTAATTTTTGCAAGATTTCATTCTTGCCAACTCAAACAGAAAAGCACAAGTTAAAAAAGAGAAAACACTTTAAATTATATTCATGGCCTTTTGTTTGAGAAAAGTCAGTGTTTACAATCAAGGCATCTTCTCTAAGTGAATGCAAGTATTTACTGAATTCAAAATTTGATTAGCAATACCTATTATCATTAATAGCACCCTGCAGGAAAGACATGAAACTGATCCAACCCAGTGCTGGTAATGGTATGTTTTAGTTTTTTTTCTAAGTACTATTCACTCCCCCCAAAATGGTGATGAATTAAGTAGAAATCCTGAGGGGCTGTGTAAAAAAAAGAAAAGATGCTACCCTAAAAGACTAATGGACTTGGAACCTAAATGTATAGAAAAATTCTGATTTCTCAGTTCAAAAAATTCAAAGACAGAACTGAAAAGATTGTACATTCTTATTTACTAATTCTAATGTAGTTACTAAGTTCTCTCTTTTGGTATAAATTTAACATATGTTGATGTTATTGTTCTTAAATGATTCTAGAGGACTGTAAGCACATACCATACAGCCATAAGCACAAAGAACAGGGAATTTACCTTGTGTAACTCCAAATCCTGTGCTAGGGGGCTCCTCTTTCAACATGTACAACTGGCAAACCCCACTATCCTCAGATGCAATGTGTGCAGGCTTACTTAAAAGATATCTCCTGTAAACAAACAAAACATCTATGTGAAAAGCTTTTCTTCTTTAATAATTGTGAGTCCAGACTATGAAAAATCAGAATTCCACCCCCCCCACACACTCCAAAGCCTTGTTTTTATATTCTGAGTATAATTTGCAATTTCAGAGTTACATCATGAATTAACAAATAACTTCTCAACACTGTCTAGAGGGAGTAATGCAAAATAACAATGCAGTAATAAATAGGAACTAAAATCCAACACTTCCTGTATGAGGACGGGCTGGGGGAAAAAAAAAGCAACCCTAATGCGACACACCCCCATTATCATGGAACCTGCTACTGATATGACTGTTTGATCAGCCAGCAAGTTAAGTGGGAATCTGGCCTCTTATTTGTGACTAGCTGAGGGACAGAAGCCCTCACCACTGTAATCCCCTTGATCTACCTATTTTTAAGATTTCTAAAATAGGCATGTATAAATAGCCAGAAATCTTTTGCAGAAGGATACTTCTGCTTGTCACCCTAGGGGCAGAAAGAGTCTGTATTTAGCCAGTGGAGGTAATGTGTGAGGGAGGGGACTCAAAATTTAGTGTGCACCCTATTTATGCCAAGTGCATATAATGTCCCTTTCATCAAGAAGTATACAATCCAATGGGGGGAGCTACACAAACATGAACATGACTAAGTAAGAGCAACCAAGATAAAACGAAGAAGAAACTCCTAAGGGGTGAATTCTGTGAAGCTCCAAAAAGGCAACAGCTCTAGGACAGAGACCCTCTGAAGAGAGGATAAATCAAAAATCTATTTTGAAGTGTCTCTAGTTGGCAAGAATACTGTGAATTCTCAATATACTAATAGGAAAAAAAAATCCAAAGAAATATGGATCATACGTAAAAGTCATTATGTTTTTACTGTTAATTTCAATGTCATTCTCTGAAACACTTTCATAATTACTCTGCGAAGCAATATTTAATTTATTTTAGTTTTCCCCCTCCCTTTCTTCTTTCACCTACAGAGATGCCAAATTCAGAAACTGTTAAAAGACGGACGTTGGAAGTCAGAACAGTAAGGATGCTGGATAACTGATAAACATGGTTGAGCTATGGTATACTCCGTGAGATGCTATGTAGATCTACCCACTGGTTTGTTTTGTCCTCCACCAGAAGCCACTTGTCCTCTGCTACAAGAAAAACTGTCTTGAGGTTGATGGGAAGTGAGATGGTGTGAGTTCGCCCTTCTAGAACATCCAGCACAGTCAGGCTGTTCCTGAAAGAGGAGAAGAAAACTATCTGAAAGGAAATGGTGAGGATAATGGTTGAGTAATGACGGCACAGTCATTTCATGATCTATCATGCAATGCTAAGAAGAAGGTGTTCAAGACTAAATAATAACAAAGAAAAATGGCAATTGAGACAACGGGGATGGGGAGGCAGAGGGAGAGCGAGTATCTTAAGCACCCAGCACAGAGCAGGACACGGGGCTCATCTCATGACCCAGAGTTCATGACCTGAGCCGAAATCAAGAGTTGGAAGTTTAAGCCACCCAGGCACCCCAAGTTCTATCTGTTCTTAGGTCTGTTTTTAAATGTTCTACAATGTGGGAAGAGTTACTTTTATAATAAAACATTTGCAATTTGGTTACACTGGTTTTAAAATAAGAAAAATATAATTAAACGAGGAAAGAGTGGACAAAATAAGGATCCCAGTTTAAATCTTCTATAACAAAGAGCTCACCCATTTTCTTTGTAGAATACTAGCCAGTTTTTGTGCGAAAATTCTTTACACATTTTATAAGTTTCCTAAAGACAAAACAAAACAAAATATTCACATTAAATGTGTGAGATGCAGTCATGTCTCTTCGGCTCCTTTCCCTTAAATAAAGTTCTTTGACATATAAAACATGTAATTCTCTGAGAAGCGACCTCTTTACTTAAGACTCTTATGGTAATGTGGATCAAAATATATTTCAAAATTTATTTCATCTTTAGGATAAAAATTTTAAAAATAATGCCAAATACTGGTTAGAAATAAACCTGCTATCTGGTGATTAACTGTGGAATTTATATTATGACATAAACATACAGGAAACACTGTTTTTTGTAGATTTGGATACATTTATGGCATTTAAATTATCTGTTTTTTTTTTTTTTCATGGTCTTTTAAGACTTAAGTATGCTCTTCTGCAGGGCAAAAAGTCTTGCTTTTTCTGAATGGCAGAATAAATTCTCTTGGATTGGCCTAGAACTTATTTACTAGTTTAATTTAGTTAATGTATTCAAATGTTTATTTATCTAGTAGGTGCAATCAGGTGTCAAGCTCATCAGTTTATTACATAAATCCAAAACGTAAACACATAACTTGAAAACAGTTCAGTGACTACATGGTCAGGAACTTGTCATGACTATCATGCTCAAAAAGCTCATGATGTTCTATTATTATTATAGTTCAGTCCTGACAAGTCTTCATGTGAGTATGATGTCTACAAACAAAAAGTTACTGGTTACTTAATTATAAGTGTACCTATGTCTATTTGTATGACATGAACATCTACAAGTGCACAATAAGAGAATTCTCTTGTGCAGTGTAGTAGTAAACCAAAGGCATGGAGAGGGATGGGCATGCATGCATCTTTAAGGTAGAAAGCTCCAGAAATCAGAAATCCTTGGCAATTTGCTGGACACGTTGGGTGTTCCTTACTGTTTCCTCCTTGTTCCACCAGGAAGGTTTCTTAGATGGACCCTCTTCTGAAGGGAGGATGAGACGTCGAAGGGCTTGGCCAGTGGTATCTAACAATAGGATGACATTACTCTGGAAATAAAGAGAAGAGTAAAAAGCTCAAGATTTGTTTTTTTTTCCTTTTTTCTTTCTTTCTTTCTTTTTTTTTTTTAAGCAGCAGCCTCTTGGCAACCTGGGAATAAAGGATACAGTGGTAAACCAAAGGGAAGATGACAATATTGAAAGACTTAAGAGACAGCATAAAGACACTAAATGGTTATCCTTAATATAGAATATAAAGTACTAGATGGTTATAGGAAGATATTTCCAATTATGTAATGCAGAATGTATTCTCTTTGAAGACTTTATCTTAAAACCATCTCCTTCTAAATACAGGCTACTTTAACCATGATTCTGTTTTATTATGTACTTGAGGAAATTAAGAGGATCAATATTTTTTAAAGTCCAGTTACTTTTATTAAAACTACACTTATAAAGAATATTTTGTTGAAAACTGTCTTACGTTGTGCATATTAAATCTCACCTATGTTTTTCACAAATCCAGGTTTACTTCAGAAGATATGTACATGATAAAAAGACGGGTTAGCAAGAAAAGATCAAGGATCCTAAGAACCTAGTTCTAGAATGAATGTTTCTTCATTTTAAAATTCACTAACCTTGAAGATCTCACAGTTGGTGCTGCAAAAATGTTCAAACGAGAGGTTTCTCCAGCAGTATTAATCACAGTTTTGCAAATGAAGTAATAATCTCTCAGTAATTAGCATTTTTTTAAGAAAAAAATTTTTAAATAAACCTTAAGCATTAAAATCAATGAACAGAGACAAATGAATAAGAACTTAAAATTGAGAAAGCCAGAAAAGGTGAAATATTTTATTTTATTATTTATTATCATTTTTTAAAGATTTTATTTTATTTATTTGAGACAGAGAGAACATGAAGGGGGGCAGAAGGGGAACCAGACTCCCCTCTGAGTAGGGAGCCCAACATGGGGCTGGATCCCAGGACCCTGGGATCATGACCTGAGCCGAAGGCAGACGCTTAACCAAAAGGTGCCCTATAAGATGAAATACTTTAAAGAGATGCAATGAACTTGGCTTTCTATGTTTGAAGATTAGACAAAAAGGTGTGCAAAAAGGGCACCTATAAGTTGTCAGGCCTCATTGTTATGCAATTGTCTTCTTGTTTTTGTTTTAAATTTGAGGCTCCTCCAGTTATCCTAACCCCTATGAACTTTTCATTTCAAAAACTTTCTTTGGGGAAAATGAAGTCATAAGGCACCCAAAGAAGTAATATATAGTTTGCAAAATATAGGAAACAAATAAGAAATGTCTGTTTGCTTGTCTTTAATATTTACTGAGCAGCTTATGTTTAAAGCACAAAGGAGAACACAATGATGAATTAACCATGACCCTTGCCCTGTCTTACGTAGTCCAGTTGGAAATAAAAAGAAATGCAAAAAAAGACTGATGATTCATCTGCAAATCTGGGACCTCATCGTGTGGTTTCACGTTTATTTGACTAGCTAATTGTATTGAAGTGCTCAAGCATCAAAGTCATATTTGTACCACATAGATTCCTTCTCTCCAAATCTCGGCTGTATTAAAAAATCCTACTAAGCATGTCGACAGAGCCTAAACTTCTCTGCAAACACCACTCTTCAAGTGCATCATTGGTATAATATGCAATTCTCCTTTCAGAATGTGTGTTAAGGATATTCTTTATAAAATCATCATTTCCTATGAGAAGTATTATTTCTAGCCTCTGAAAGTTTGAAAATGATGGCAATATCTTAAAAGTTTTACTTAAGAACATGTATTAAGTTAAAAATTTACAGTCTCCATCTAGAGTAAATCTTTTCTAGCAAGTATTTTTTAAAGGAGAAAATCTTTCTCGTATGATAAGTCTGAACATTAACACGAATTCTTAGCACTTTAGCAATTTGGGATAATATTAACTCTTCTAAGCAAAACAAAGTCCTAAAAATAATGTTTGATTCCAAAACATGATTAAGCAGAAGAATAAGCAGATGATTAAACAGATACGATTAAGCAGAAAAAATAAGTTAGTACGGTTTTGCATTTTTCTTCCTTTTTAGGGTCTGATACTTATATGTTCATTATTTGGCATAAGTGGACTGAAAAACTGTATCTTTCTAAGTAAGTGACAGAAAACATATATATTTCCAGCCATGGTTGTATTTAGACTGTTTTAGAAGCAATTGGCAACATGAAGGAGTTCTGTTTCTCCATCCTTTTAGATGCTAATGGTTTCCTTCTGTAAATGACTAATAATATATTCTGTCTGAGTTTAAAAATAGAATTTTGCATCACATCTGAGTACATGTAACTGTGGCTTTGGGGCTCCTTTAAGGGGGCAGGGAGAAGAAGCAAGTGAGCAATTTTATTATGTTTGTATCTGACTGGGAGAAAAGTAACCTCTGGATGACCTCAATGTCCTAAAGTCTGAAATTCTAAACTTTGTACAGATGAAATAAGTAATCTCATGGCAGGGGAGGGGGAGGGGAGGAGGGTCTTTATTTTTAGGCATGGCAAAGTTTCCCTTTCCTCACTTAAGATTTTATTTTAGCAAGGAAGTTGAGCAACTTTTTTAGCCAGGGAAATGCATCCATAGCAAAGCTTTATAAAGACAAGGCCCAGAGGAATTAATGGGAGTACTTCTCTACGATATTTTAGCTCTGCTTTCAGGGAGGGCAGAATGGGGAAAAAGGAATTGAGGACAGTGCACTCATTTGCTAGTTGATTAAAATTATTTACCATTTGTTAAATTTTACAGACGCATGCTGTTCATTTAGAATCAAAGAGGTCTTAGCCTCCTAACAGGGCCATAATATAAAATAGGCAGCTAAGATACTATCTCTGGGAAAAGAAGAGGCAATTCAGAGTCCAGTGCAAGTACTCCTATAAGCTGTGCATGCTTGCTCAGGGGTGCTGAGATAGTTTTCTAGAAAACGGTTCAGACTGTGGTCAAAGGGCCAAGTCAGGTGGTAGAATGCAAGAATGCCAGGAGGCCAAGGGCTGCTATGGAAGTTAGGTACCTCTTTGCACTCAACAGAGTATTAATCAGCGATGTTGCCAAATAATTGGATCTTTTGAGAAAATATAATACTTGCTAGGAACCTAAAAATCTAGTACTTTCAAAGAATTGGTATATGTAGATTTGACAGTTAATTTGACAGCTGGAAATTGGGCAGGACTGTTTGAATAAATACTCCAAATTTAGATTTTTATTGAAATGCGACTGGCTTACTGAATTAAAAATCACCAAGATATCATGTGCTTTTTATGACAGACTCTTCTCCTTGTGGAATTCAATTCAATGGCATTGATATTTTATTAGAAACCTATAAAGTAAAACCCTTATTCCATGTGAAAATTTAAAAAAAAGTGAAAATCAGAAAAAAATTTAACTCAGAATTTATGATAATTTATGCAAGGCCTAAAGTTAAAGTTGACTTACTGACTCAGTGAAACACTGACATGTTATTTATGCAATATTTCCTCTTGATTAGACATGGTCTAAAAATATTGTTTCTTGGTAACTCTTTGCTTTCCTGGTGACTTTAAATACTTATAAATAACAACACTGCATTTCTTTAATATCTTCCTATTGTGAATACTTTTTAATTATTCAGATTATTCTTTTCTCCAAGTAGCTGCTGTGAGTGAAATGGTGGATGAAGATTAATTCTGGTGTGGCCAATCCAATTTGGTTTGAATCTCAGTTTTACCATGTATCTACTGGGCAGGTTATCTAAACTCTCTGAGCCTCCATTTCTCCCATTTAAATAAGGTTAAGGGCAGCCTCAATGTGCTACTGGAAGAATAACATGAAACAATGTATGTCATCTTTTATTTGGCACATTGCCAGCATTTAATAATTGATCCTTCTCCTTGAGAGGCTCATCACTTGCTTTCTGGGATACCACACTCCCTGGTCTGTCCACCTACTTCGCTGGCCACTCATCTTTAGTCCCCTTGGCTGATTTTCCCTGTATCTCCTTGATTTCTTAATATTTCATTGCCCCAGAGCTTGGACTTCTCTACCCACACTCACTCCCTTGGTGACCTCTTTCAGTCTCATGGTTTTCAATAACATTTTTCTGCCAAGTACCCCCAAATTTATATTTCCTGTTCTGATCTCTCCACTGAACTCTAGGCTCATCTACTTGGATGTCTAACAGGCATCTCAGATTTAATCAGATGTCTAATCCCTCACAAATCAGTTCCTCATCTCAGCCGATGGCGACTCTATCCCTTCAGTTGCTCAGGCCCTAAACCTTGAAGTTGCCCTTATTAACTATACCCTCTTTCACCCCATGCATTTGATCTGTCAGGAAATCCTGTTGGTTCTACCTTCAATATATATCCAGAATCCATCATTATTGACAATCTTCATTCTCTAAACTGCAATGATCTCTTGCTGGATCACTGCAAACATTTCTTAACTAGTCTCCTTCTTTCTGCCTCAGCACCTACAGACTATTCACTGCGGAGGAGCCAGAGAAATTCTTAAAAATATAAGTCAGGTCATGCTACTCTTCTGCTTAAAACACTCTTAACACTTTCTTCTTCCACCCATAGGCAGGGCCCAGGACATTACAATGGTCAATGAGGCTCTGCACAATCTGCTTCTCCATCCCTTGCACCATGCCCCTTCCCCAACCAGCTGAGCAACCTCTGTGACCTCCACCCTCCCTATACTTTCCCCCTCACTCAATCTTCCCCACCACACTTCTTTAAAGATGGAACAAAAGCATGCTCCAGCCTCTGGGCCTTTGAACTTACAATTCCCTTTGCCTAGAACTCTCTTATTTTAGATATCTTTTCTCCCCCTCACTTCCCTAAAGTCTTTGCTTAAGTATCCCCTCCTCATTTAGGCAATCCCTGCCTATCCACCCTATTTTAAATGGCAATCTTCCGCCAGCCTTCTCTTTTACTCTCCCTTGCTTCTCATCTTCTAACTTGAGATATAATTTAATGATTTCTTTTGCTTATTGTCTACCTCCCTGCACCAGAATGTAAGCTTTTCAGGACAAAGATTTTTGTGTTTTGTTTGCTGCAGCATCTCCAGGAATAGGCACATGATATGTATTTGCAGAATGAATAATATGCTCAGTATTGTGGATACTAGGTGGATAATAAATATGCAAAAACATTACACTTCCTTCTATTGGTATAGTACAGAGTAACTTAGACCTTTAGAATTCTCACTAATTGCAACACAGCCTGCTTTTTGATCTCTACCTTCTGTTTGGAATTATTTTAAGCTTGACTCTAAGCATCTGTACGACCTTGAGCATCATTACATACCAAAGGATCTCAGTGTAGTCTTGCAGTGAACTGAAGGTTTACGTCCTCCCAAATATCGTATGTTGAAATCCTAAGCCCTGATGTAGTAGGAGGTGGGGCCTATGGGAGGTGAGGAGGTCAGGAGGGTGGAGTCTTCATGCATGAGGTTAGTGCCCTCATCCATGAGACACCGAGGAGATGCCCTGCTCTTTCTGCCAAGTGAGGTTATGAAGACACAGCGGTTTAGGAAGTGGATTCTCACCAGACACCAGATCCAGATCTGCTGGTCCTTGATCTTGTTCTTCCCAGCCTCCAGACGGTGAGGAATACATTTCTGTGGTTTGTAAGCTACCTAGTCTATGCTCTTTGTCTGACAGTAGCCCGAACAGACCAAGACAAGTCCATTCACTATATTTATATGGCTATCTCTACATGAAGAAGGTCATTCAGGTTTCAGATAAAATGTCATCATCCAAGAGGAGCACTCTTTAATACTGTTCACTCTTCCACCTCCTCCTACCCCATCCCTATCACTCCCTAGGACATTACCTTGTTTCGACACAGCACTTAATCACTACCCGAGATGGGTGCATTTATTTGTTGGCTTCCTTTGTTGTTTATCTCCCCAAAGAGAATGGAAGCTTCACAACAAAGAATTATCTGGCCTCAAATGTCATTAGTGCTGAGGTTGAGAAACCCTAACTTACAGGCTTCCAGAATCACAGGTCATGTTGAAGTCTCTGCAGAGAGGAAGATATTAGCCTACCTTTGTGGTACTGACAAAACACAACTCTGATCCCTCCTCCATCTTTACGAAAGCAGTATTTTTACTTACAGGTTGCAAGTCACTCTTGCCTTTTCCTTCACATAGCTCATTGTTGGCATAACTAAGCAGCCTGGGATGCCTTACCTGCTGCTCATGGAGAATCACTTGACCCTTGAGGGGATTTCCCAGTGATGCCACTGTCACAAATGGGTGCCAAACTCTACTGGCCATTCTTGGGAAGACGTCAGAAAAGTCCGCCAAGTAGCCACTTTTCCCAGTCATGTTCATAAAGTATAAGGTGATGGGATTGCATGCAACTACATAGAGGGTATTTTCCTCATTTTCTGTAATGACAAAAAGGTGTTAATTTTGTGGTCTGCATGAGATTTTCTGACTGGTCAAGAGGTCCGGTGAAATCTGAATCAGGAGACAGAGTGCACAGTTGGAACTCAGCGGATGACTTGTAGATGGACTGATTAGGAGATAGACATATATAGAAATTAACTGATTCTAAGCTTTTCTCTCACAAACACAGAAGAGGTAAAAAAGCAAAGAAAAAACAACAAAAACTCTAGTCTGCATATGCGGACAATACTGAAAGAGAGAGTTAAATGATAGGAAGGGCAGCATCTGGGTTTTGTTTTTAAGGGCTAATTCTGACTGACAGCAGCTGCCTGGAAGGTTGTTTTGAAACGGCAAAGGCCAGGACAAGGTTTCACCAGAAAAGCGTCCTGATTAGCCAAGCCTCTCGTAGGCGTGGGCCGAGGATCACGCATACTTATTTCCTATCCTGAAAGATGCCACAAGGGCCAAAGTTCAAACTTTATCCGCAAAATCCATATTTATTCTCTACTAGTGAATGTAAAACACCTTCACAAGAGCACCAGTCTGTTACCAAAAAGCTCTGTATATTTTAAAGCACATACTTTTATTCAACAAAGCTGATTTTAGAAATAAACAATATTCATAGAAGTTATATGAGCAAAAAACTTGCTTCTGTCTTTTCGCCTCAACGATCCCCATCTTAGGGAAGTGACTTTCTCCCTTTCCTCTGTCATCACCTCTGTTTAACAGGATCTTAGTAACTGCCATCAATTGAAAACTTCTGCCAAAACGTACCCAAGGGCACAATGCATGAATCAGTATATAATGGCAACAGTCCAGAAATGTAGATGCCAAAAATTCACATCCTTTATTTGCCATTCTTTACAATAAGTTTAATGATTGCAAATTACTCCAGCCCTGCTTTCGTAGTTCATGTAATCATCAAACTGGAATCCCAGCCCCCAAATCCAATGTTTCTCTTTTTCTTTTCCCCTTCTATTTTTAGCATACACCTGGGTGTGTTTAACTTTGTGCTACAACTGTAATGAGAAACAGACATATGCATACAAACTTAGCAGGGCCTATGTGGATTCCACAAAAGTATTTTGTTAGGTTGTTATAGGAAATTAGTTCTAAATTACATACAATTACTATCCAATCCAAAAATGACACAGTTACTGAGTCTATCATAGACTTCTTGATGTTTAGAGGTTCTTTTAATCCCTCTTTTTAAAAAAAAATCAGTGCAGGAATGAAAAATCAAAAGAATAAATTGACATACCGTGTGATGTAGCAATGTCACAGATTAAGTTAATTTCATCCAATGGTAACTTCCAGGAGGCACATTCTTCAGTAAAGGTTTGGGATCTTTCTTCATATCTTTCTATTGGATACTCCTGTATGTTTATAAGGGCTGGACCCTATAATAAAGTAGTTATCTGGGTTAAGGAATTTAGGTAGTTACCAAAATGTAGGAAGGCTAAAGTTCTTTGAAAATATAGAGTGTAAATTTAAATACGCAACATCATGAATTACCTCGTCTAATTTTATTGACTGACATGGTACCTATAACAATAATACCACACACTTGCATTTATAAATGCTTTCATTTGTGCTATCTTATTTAATTTCTCACTTTCTTTTCTGTTTACTCACAAAATATACCAGATGTAAAATCCCATAGGTTTCTCATTACTTCATTCCTTCCTAAGCCAAGAGCAAGTTTTGAACTGCAAGTATTAGGACCCAGGGCTGTCCAAACCAGGAGAATAATCAGTAAATGTATGAATCAGGGCCTGATACAGTTCCATTGTAAAGAATGATTATTATATCATTATATAGAAAGTATGGCCTGAACCTGGGTCTTTGAAATAAAATATATATAAAAAAAGTGACATTTGAAATAAAAAAAAAATAACCACTGATAACCACTACCATTATTTACAAAAGGCGGACTATAACATAGGTAGTGAATATTACTCAATATAAACAGAAGGAGAGGAATTAATTTAATAATGTTATTGATATTAGGGCTGGGTCCTTCGAGATGCGAACTATATAGAACTATATAGATGTAACCACACTTTCAATATCCGCATGCCGTACAGTCCTTAATTAATTAAAAATGTCTGGGTTAGACAGTGACTCTTGTAGCATCCCTGCCACCCTCGACCCCGCCCCTTTCTATCTGGTCCCTATCTCAGGAGCCGGAAGTCTAAAAACTACGTTCCTCATACTCCCATGCAGTAAGGGTTCCGGACATGATTTAGGTTCTGCCAATGAAATGCACTTGCATGGTCCACAGGTTAAACCTGACCCACTGCCTGCTTTTGTAAATAACATTTTATGAGAACACAGCCACGCTTCCCTGCTAACATACTGTCTACAGCTTCTTTTGTGCGACCCCAGCAAATGGAATAGCAGCAGCAGAATCTGCATGGCCGAAAACAGTTACTATCTGGCTCTTTACAGAAAAAGTTTGCTGATCCTGCTTGGCTATGTAGCTGCCAGCAACAGGGGTGGTGGTAGAAGCAGAAGCACTGATCTTGAGACTGAAAATCCAGTGGTGGCCCTTTGACTTCTGTTTCTTCTGTCCTTTCTGGTGATTTTATAAGCATCCAATTCCCCACAGTAAGTCCCTTTCTGCTTGAAATACCTAAAGGAGTTTCTGTTGCAACTAATGATTGATACTCTTTCCCTTTGCCTTTTTACACGGAAACAAGTATCGTGGAGTCAGTGTCCTAGGATAACACACAACATACCTGACTCTAACTCAGGTTAGCTCTTAGGAATTCTATTAGCCACTAGCAATGATCTACATTGAGTTTCTCAGAGGCCAGACTGGCTTGAGAGCTGGAGCAGAAGCTAAATCTAAAATAACCTCAGAACAAGTCATTTCTGGGATTGTATGGGCTTTTCCCAGGGAAGATATAGAAAAATCTGTAACATTCAACATTTTAACGAAGAAATAATGATACCAACCTTTACGTCTATATGATGAGTTTCTGCTGGACACAACAGTTTTTGTATTCCATTTCTTGACTGACCAATCGTCCAGTAGCCCATGAACGTCGGCTCTGGCAGAGGCAACCTGGCAAGGATGATTTGAAAAGTAAACATTTCTTCTTGTTTCTAAGTCATAGAAAAAAAATTACGAGCCGTCTATTATCAACCACATGAATAAATTTGAAGAACGCTTCACTTAGAAGTGAGTTATATTTTATTTTATTAAAAGTCTATAGTATGACATTTAGAATATACTTTAAGAAGAAGATTACACTCCTGCCATTTGCAACGACATGGATGGAGCTAGAGTATAATGCTAATCGAAGTAAGACACAGAAAGGCAAATACCATATGATTTCACTCATATGTGGAATTTAAGAAACAAAACAAGAAAGGGGGAAAAAAGAGAGAGGGAGAAATCAAGAAACAGACTCTTAACTATAGATAACCAAAGTGATGGTTACCAGAAGGGAGGGGGTGGGGGGGATGAGGGAAATAGGTGATGGGGATTAAGGAGTGCGCTTGTTCTGATGAGCACTGGGTGATGTATGGAAGTGTTGAATCACTATATTGTACAAGTGAAATTAATATCACACTGTATGTTAACTAACTGGAATTAAAATAAAAACTTAAAAAAAAGAAGACTTCACATTTCTGAAACTCAGAAGGTAAGGTCCTATTCTGTTTTTACCTTGATGACAAATATAATTAAGGTTTACTCCTTAATTTCTCCTTGACTTGGTAAAATACTTAGCAATTTAACACCTCAATTCCTAGTGAAGTACAGGAAGGATTTAGAGAAAAAAATGAAATAATCCATCTATTTTTTTATTCTTTTAAATTTGGAATCAAATAATAAATAGTACACAATACTACAAGTCACATATTTCTAAGTTGTACAGGGCAAGTTTCATAGAGTGTATTTTAGTACTTTAACCTTTCCTCCTCCTCCTTCTCCTCCTCCCCTCCACTCCTCCTCCTCCTCCTCCTCTTCTTTTTTTTACTTTGAAGTGTAATATACATACAGAAATGTTCACACCAATGTATCACTTAGCCCTGAATGCACCGCTGTATCCAGGTCCTCATCTCCACTAAGGGAGCTACTATCCTGACTTTGAATGGAATGATTCTGTGTGTATTTATTTATTTATTTATTTATTTAAAAGATTTTATTTATTTATTTATTTATTTATTTGACATGACCATTATTGTGTTTTCTCTTTTAAATGTAATAAAAACACATTTCAGTGTCAAAAGGGCAGATCTTGAAAACATGTTGCCAACTAGAATCTCTCCTTGTTTAGGGAATGAACAGCATTTTTCACTTGTTTTCAGCAGTTTACTAAAGGAGAATTAGATCTCCAAATAGAGGAGAATATAAAGGAAGGACACACCTAATTTCCCTCTAGCCTGGAAGACTTAGTGAAACAAAATGCAGGAGGCCTGTGTTCTAGTTCTTCTATTAACTAGCTCTGCAAATGTGGGAAGAGAAAAGTCAGCTAATTTCTCCGAGTGTTAATTTCTTCCTTTGTGAAATGAAAGGGATGATCGGCAAGGTTCCTTATAGACTGAGGAGTCTCTGATGATCTATCGCGGGAGTGAGTAGAGGGAAGTGTCAGTGCTAGACTCAAGAGCCTTGCAGTACCTTCGTGCTCTGAAGTGAAAATACTCAGAATGAAAATACCTATACCCACCAACAGAATCAGTGCCCCTGACAGATAAGTATGCTTCATTAAAGCTTATAAAACAGGCTCTAAATACATCTCAAATTGGCTCTTCGAAGACAACAGAAACAGTTACACATCTTGAAATCTAATTAGAAGTGGACAATTGCTTTAAAAAATGATCCTAGGTTGACAGGTTGATATCTACCCTAAAAAATGGATCTAAAATAGCCTCTAGTAATCTCACAAAAATATACAGATGCTTAAAAAAAATTCATCCACTTGAGAAAAAGTAACTTTATTCAACTTCCAGTTTTTATGGACAATTTCTGGGATGCTCATGAAATCTGGTTTGAACTTGCAAACTCATTCTAAATAACACTCATGGAAGATCAGGCTGCCTGGTTCCATCTAAAAATAGCACTAGCTGTTTGGTTGGCAGCATGTGGGAAGAACCCTCAGGTACCCCATATGGAAACTATCTGGAACCACATAACAAGATTGCTATTGGCAATAACAGCTAAAACCAAAAGACACACGTTGGGTATTCTGGAGTCATACAACAAACTGACTCCACCTTGCTTCTTGGTAACACGAAGTGTTGTCCTAAGACTTTTCCTGTGGGCTGGATCCAGACTGGCCAACTGAGGTAAACCAAAGCCCCTCATTTATTTTTCACTACTAAGTCCTCCCGATAAGCTGTGGAAAAATGTATTACTAACTCTTTCCCCTTCAATAAGTCAGTAGTCAGGGGAAAGGGGAAGCACTGTATTTGGGTGCATGAGTAAGCTTTGGAATTGGAAACATAATCAACACTAATTTGGGGCTAACTCTAAACGAATAACCAGTTAGCAAAAGACCCTATATTCCATTACTGAAATCTGTCATCCAACTTTAATCACACTTAAATTGTTACACCTGATTTCATGGAAATGACTGGTATTTTCCATGATTTTTAGATCTTGACACTTGTATTGTTTAACTCTATTAAAGTCTTAGCTGGAATGATGTCTGGATTTGATTTTAAGGGGGAGGAAGGTAAACTTAAGGCCTATAAATAGCACTACTTTTTATCTTCAATGTCATTCATGAATTTATGTTTTTTAAAACAATGTTTCAATTCATATGTTGTGATGTTTCTTAATCCCTGGTGGAAGTATTAATAAAGATCTGGAAATAAAAGTTGTTTTTTTTTTTAAGATTTTATTTATTTGACAGAGAGAGATAGCGAGAGCAGAAACACAAGCAAGGGAGTGGGAGAGGGAGAAGCAGGCTTCCCGCTGAGCAGGGAGCCTGATGCGGGGCTCGATGCTAGGACCCCGGGATCATGACCTGAGCCGAAGGCAGACACTTAACAAGTGAGCCACCCAGGCGCCCCTGGAAGTAAAAGTTTTCACGAAAAGTGGGGCGCCTGGGTGGCTCACTTGTTAAGTGTCTGCCTTCGGCTCAGGTCATGATCCCGGGGTCCTAGCATCGAGCCCCGCATCGGGCTCCCTGCTCAGCGGGAAGCCTGCTTCTCCCTCTCCCACTCCCTTGCTTGTGTTTCTGCTCTCGCTATCTCTCTGTCAAATAAATAAATAAAATCTTAAAAAAAAAGTTTTAACTAAAAGGTAAATACCAAAATTATAACTCAGATCAAATTATACAGAAAGCAAAAAAAGAGTTTTTTCCTAAGCATGCCCACAATTCATAACATGATGCATATGGACACCAAAGCTGAGTAACAGAGTCTGAATGACATGCAAGAGATTTGTCTAAGATTGTTTCCATAAAGAGGTGATCTGGGGTTTTAGAGTATGTTCTGGCAAATTTCTGCCTTCTCTGAACATTTGCCAATACTATTTCTGGAGTCTGAAAGAAACACAGAAAAAGATTTGGATCTTTCTAGGGGCATTATGCAATTGGAAGTTGTTGACGTACTTATTAGCAACAATTCCTAAAACATCTCCTTACCACAAGAACTACTAATTTTCACGGGAATAGTGGAACCCCTCAGGGTAGTTCCATCAACTCTCAAAACCTCATCAGTTACTACCATCTTGGAGAAGAAAAAGAACAACTTTGATTTTAGCAGTCCTCACTCACTCCTAATGTTTTAGATCTAACCTCTCGTAAAAATTAGGTTGGACTGTCCACCTGAGTTTACTAGAGCCTTTCATAGAATAACCCTGACAAATATGTCCACTTTTGGCTCTTATGACTTCCTCTTACTCTCTAGCCAATTTAGGCCTTAGCCACCTTGAACTGCTACTTGCTCTTCCTGAACAAGCTATGCATTTTCATGCTTCCATGAGGCTATTACCTCTTCCCAGAATTCCTCTCTGCTATTGCTTCTTCGGTGAAATCCTTCTCAGTCTTAAGGCCCAATTCAAATGTCACTTCCCCTTGCATCTCCTGCCCATATTTCTTTCTGAGCAGAATGAATCTCTTGCTCTTCTGGGTTTCCATGGAAATTTGCACATTTGGAACTCTTAGAAACTCTTAGGATACAGTTCTGTAGAATTTGTAATTTTCAAATTCAAGGTCTGAGAGAATAAAGTTTTTGAGATCAAGGTCAGAAGTGAATCCCTTGCAAATATTTATATTTATTAAAATAAAAAGTCAGCATACTTAAAAAGAGAAAATAGAAAAGCCCCTTAAAACACTTTAAATAATAATGGATATTACTATTTCTCAGTTACCCTCGTTTGCTAGAAACTTCTGAGTCTCCCTGCCCTATAATCTCATATGTCGCTGGCAAGTTAATTTTGCTTTGCTGCAGATGATGTGCACACAATGAGTATATGTAGGTGTGTTTCCTGTCTTTGCCTAGCTCTGCATTAGACATGATGGCTTTCGCTTTCTAACTTAGACTTGTGTTCCTCTGCCACTTAGGTCCTGCTGACGTCACAGAAATGAAGAGTAATTTGGATGCATGAGATGGAAAAAGATTTGGGGAAACTTGCTATTCTTGGCTGACCATTCTCAAATATGCGCTCCAACATCCAGAATGACTCTGTGTGGTCTTAGTGCCGATGCCTTGCGTCACTCTGTGCCACAGCAGACATCGTCGGCTTGCTCCGCACATCTCTGGCTTTCTTCCTCCTCGAAGAAGGTGCCGAAGTACGGTTCTGGGGCCTGGGATTCCTTTCTCTCCTCTTTCTTCAAGTTTTACTGCAAAAACTTCTCTTTTTCTGCCATCTGCTTTACCAACCACATCTTAGTATTTTCTAATCTTAAGTTCTTCCATTTTCTAATTATCCACATCAAGAATGACAGGGATTGGATCTTTCCCAGTTGGAAATTCCCCACACTTCCAACCCCCCACAGAAAACCTCTGTTATTTCCCACAAGAAGGACTCATGGGATGAGATAACCCTACTGTGAATATAGCACTTTGAATATAACATTGCATAGCAAGGTTGGTCGTTTACATATTTTC